TAAACACATAAGCCACTGGATGCCATATGGGAAACTCAGATCTATAGTCTTTCATAGTTTTTGAACTTTGAATCATTTAAATGCATGGCCTATTCTTTTTAGTTATAGAACTTAATAGAATAGTATTTAGATTGTATTAATTTAAATGAAATCTACCATAGAATTTAAATTGAACCAGCGAATGTGGATATATAAAATATTGCCAAGGTGTGTGTGTGTGTGTGAGTGTGTGTGTGTGTGTATTAAGTGTCTGTGTGTGTGTATATATGTATGTATATTTTGTTTTTTGTTTTTATCTTGAGTGAGAGTCTCGCTCTGCCACTCAGTTCGGAGTGCAGTAGTATGAAGTTGCCTCACTGCAACCTCCGCCTTTAGGGTTCAAGTGGTTCTCCTGCCTAAGCTTCCCGAGTCAACGGGGTTACAGGTACACACCACCACCTCCAGCTCATTTTTGTATTTTCAGTAGAGAAAGCGTTATACCATGTTGGCCAGGCTGGTCTTGAACTCCTGACCTCAAGTGGTCCACCTGCCTCGGGGCCTCTTAACATGCTGAAGATTACAGGCATGAGCCAGGATGCCCAGCTGCAAAGGTGTGTTTTTGAGTAAAATGAACAACTTACAAACAAAAAAATAGGGAACAGCTGGGAGTGGTGGCTCATTCCTATAATCCTAGCACTTTGGGAGGCTGAGGTGAGAAGATCACTGGAGCCCAGGAGGTCGAGGCTGCAGTGAGCCATGATTGCACCACTTCCCTCCAGCCTGAGTAATGTGGCAAGACCCTGCCTCAAGAAAAACTAAAATTAAAAAACCAAAACCTAAACATGACGATTAAGTTTTCAGGTTGTTTTATGATATGTGCCTTCCTCAAAACTTGTTACGATATCATCACCTCACCCATCTGATGCAAAAAAGAAAAAATAAAACCCAGAGACTCAAACTAAAAATATTTGCAAATCTATAGCGTTAGGTGTTGTCCTGTGTCTCCCTGAAAGACACTGAAGCCCTACGCCGCAGGATCTGTGGATGTGACCTCATTTGGAAACAGTCTCTTCACATGTGATTGAGCTAACCTGAGGTAATGAAGGTGAATCCTAATCCCGTGTGCCTGTGTTCTTATAAAAAGGGGATGTGTGGACAAATAAACCTACAAAGGGAAGACAATGTCAAGACAGAGACAGAAGACCACCTACAAGCCGAGGAACTCTGGATGCTCTGAGAATCCATGAGCGAGACCTGGGACAGACCCTCCCTCACAGCCTTCACAGAAAAAAAACAATCAATCAATAATCCCTTGATTTTAGACACCTGGCCTCCAGAACTGTGAGAATAAATCTCTGTGGTTGAAGCCACACAGTTTAGGGTACTTTGTTAAGGCAGCACTGGGAAATGAATGCAGAGTTCTTGGGGCACACATCAACACTTCTGAATAAAATTTGGGACATGGCATGCTTGAACTTACAATTTATACTTTTCTCTACTCTGAATTCTTTTTATTTTTGAGAGACAGGGTCTCACTCTGTCACCCAGGCTGGAGTGCACTGGCACAAGCATGGCTCACTGCAGCCTCCACCTTCTGGGCTCCAGCAATTTTCTTGCCTCAGCCTCCTGAATAGCTGAGACTACAGGCACATGTCACTGTGCCTAATTTTTTAAAAATGTTTTGTAGAGATGAGGTCCTGCTATGTTGCCCAGTTTACCTGGGACTCCTAGCCTCAAGTGATCTTCCCACCTTGGTCTCTCAAAGTTTTATAAGCCATTGTAACTGGCTTGCCTTTTTTTTTTTTTTTTTTTTTTTTTAAAAGACAGAACCTTGCTCTATTGCCCAGGCTGGAGTGCAGGGACAAGGTCTCAGCTCACTGCAACCTCCATCTCCTGAGTTCAAGCAATGCTTTTGCCTCAGCCTCACGAGTAACTCAGCTTATAGGCTTCTACCACCCACCACACTCAGCTAATTTTTGTATTTTTATTACATGTGGGTTTCACCAGTGGGCCAGGCTGGTCCCGAACTGCTGACTTCAGGTGATCCGCCCACTTCAGCCTCTCAAAATTCTACCATTGTGGTTCAGTGCAACCTCTGCTCCTGGGTTCAAGCAATTCTCCTCCCTCAGCCTCCCAAGTAGCTGGGATTACAGGTTCCTGCCACCATTGCCAGTTTTTGTACCTTTAGCAGAGATGGTGTTTCACCATGTTGGCCAGGCTGGTCTTGAACTCTCGACCTCAGGTGATTCACCTGCCTCAGACTTCCAAAGTGCTAGGATAGCTGGCATGAGCCACTGTGCCTGGCCTACTCCTATTATTATTACATTGTAATATATAATAAAATACTTACACAACTCACCATAACGTAGAATTAGTGGGAGCCCTGAGCTTGTTTTCCTGAAACTAGATGGTCCCTTCTGGGGGTGATGGGAGACAGTGACAGATCAACAGGCATTGGATTTAAGAAGCTCACTGTCCAGCTCTCTCGAATGTATTATTTACAGTAGGGTTTGCGCTCCTATGAGACTCTAACAATGCCACCGATCTGACAGGAAGTGGAGCTCAGGTGGTGATGCCAGCAATAAGGAGTGGCTGTGAACACTCCCTCGCCCACCCGCTGCTCACCTGCTGTGCTGTCTGCCCAGCTTCTAACAAGGAAGCCAGGCGCGGTGGCTCACACCTGTAATCCCAGCACTTTGGGAGACTGAGGCAGGTGGATTACCTGAGGTCGAGAGTTCGAGACCAACCTGACCAATGTAGAGACACCCTGTCTCTACTAGAAATACAAAAATTTGTATTTCTAGTAGAGAGAAAGGAGCCAGGCATGGTGGCTCATACCTGTAATCCCAGCTACTTGAGAGTCTGAGGCAGGAAAGTCACTTGAATCTGGGAGACAGAGGTTGCAGAGAGCCAAGATTACACCATCGCATTCCAGCCTGGGCAACAAAAGCAAAAAACTTCGTGTCAAAACAACAACAACAACAAAAAGAAGCCAGGGTGCAATGGCTCACACTTGTAATCCCAGCACTTTGGGAGAATGAGGAGGGCGAATCACCTGAAGTAAGGAGTTTGGGACCAGCCTGGCCAACGTGGTGAAACCTGTCTCTACTAAAAATACAAAAATTAGCCAGGTGTGGTGGTACATGCCTGTAATCCCAGCTACTCAGGAGGCTGAGGCAAGAGAATTGCTTGAACCTCGGAGGTGGAGGTGACATTTACCTGAGATCACACTGCTGCACAGAGTGAGACTCTGTCTCAAAAAAAAAGGAAAAAAAAAAAGGCTACAGACTGGTACTGATCCATGGCCAGGAGGGTTGGGGACCCCAGCTGTAGACAATATGAAATGATCAAATCAGCGTAACAGACAGTCATCACCTCAAATATTTATCAAATCCTTCTCTTCTGGCTATCTTGAAATAGTCAAATAAATTCTCATTCACTGTAGTTTCCCTGCGCTATGGATTACTGTAACTTATTTCTTCTATCTAGGCCTTCTGGTCTTTCATTCTGTTTTTTAAGATTATTTTCATTTATTTCTGAGACAGTCTCTCTCTTTCTGCCAGGCTACAGTGCAATGACATAATCTTGACTCACTGCAACCTCCACCTCCTGGGTGCAGGCAATTTTCCTGCCTCAGCCTCCTGAGTAGCTGGGAGTACAGGCGTGCATCACCATTCCTAGCTACCTTTTTTTTTTTTCGTAGTGATGGGGTTTCACCATGTTGTCCAGGCAGGTCTCAAACTCCTGACCTCAGGCAATCCACCCACCTCAGCCTCCCAAAGTGCTAGGATTACAGGCATGAGCCACAGTACCCGGCCACTTATTCATTCTTACATTCATTCATTCTATGAATAACTACTGCCTGGTTATTATATACCTGGCAGAGTTCCGGGCTCTGGGGAAACAGCAATGAGCAAAACAAAGTTGCTGCTGTCTTAATGGATCCATCGTTCTAATGAGGAGGAAAGAGACAGGCAATCCATGAAGAAACCATAAACACAAACAGCACATCAGGTGAGAGCGCTGTGAAGAATAAATACTAAAGTGGGTATGGCCAGGTGCAGTGGCTCACACCTGTAATCTCAGCACTTTGGGAGGCTGAGGTGGATGGATCCCTTGAAGTTAGGAATTCAAGACCAGCCTGGCCAACATGGTGAAATGCCATCTCTACTAATAGTACAAAAAAAAAAAAAAAAAAAAAAAAAAAGACCCAGGTGTGGTGGCACCTGCCTGTAATCTTAGCAACTCAGGAGGGTGAGGTGGGAGGATTGCTTGAACTTGGGAAATGGAGGTTGCAGTGAGCCGACATTTCATCACTGCACTCCAGCCTGGGGAACAGAGCAAGACTCTGTCGTCAAAAATAAAAAAGTGAAGAGAAATCAGGTGCAGGTTAGAGTGCATTCGCATGAGCAAGGGTGCTCTTGTGGTGGAGAAGGTGATAGACATGAGGGCTGAGCCTGGGGACTCCTGGGGAGAGCAGCATGGGAGGGCCCTAGGTATTGGTTCCATTTGTGGTCCTTTTGTTTAGATTTGATTTGTTTTTGACACAAAGTCTTGCTCCATCGCCCAGGCTGAAGTGAAGTGGCACAATCTCGGCTCACTGCAATCTCCACTAACCGGGTTCAAGCCACCTCAGTCTCCCAAAGAGATGGGATGGCAGATGTGAGTCACGTGCCCGGCCTATGCATCAACATGTTTAAATTCTTCTGAAAACTGTGCTTTAGAAAGAGTGTTCTGAAAGACATAGGAAATAAATGACAGAATGGCAGGGCAAGGATCGCATCAGTGACAGGGTGGCTGTGGAGATTTGCTGGCCAGCAGCAGGAAAGCCACTCAGACCCTGGATTCTACCTCTGCAGCCTGTCTGCACCTGAACCCTCCTCCCCACATCAGTGGAAGCCTGGAACTCTCAGAAAAGCAGACCTCACCGGCCGCTGCCACTTTCACCAGAAGATGTGATTCATTCATTCACACAGAAGACAGCAGGAACCCTGAGAAAACAGGATCCAGAATGTGTGGGTTTTGATGGACAGTGTGGTAGGATCTGGGAGGCTCCACCTGCCTCACCTCCTGAGCCCCACACTCCTTCCCCAGTCCTGCTCGGCATAGAGATTAGTGACATTACCAGAAAGGTAGATGCTTGGAAGGACACCAGCAACACGGAGAAGAGGAGGCCAGAGGTCCACAAGGCACCCAGCTCCTGGCCTCGGATGACCAGGACTGTCCAGAAAGGCTCCCTCACAGCCATGAAACTTGATGATCCTCGAGTTCCTGAGGATGGAGCTGGAGGGCTGGGCCCACAAGTCCTTCTGCCTCATTTGCTCTCCTGGGGTTGGAGGGAAAAGAGCGATGAACACACGGCTGGTCCAGAATTTTCCCCTGCACCCTGACAGTAACCCTGCAGTGAATCCCACTGATCTCACCAACTGCATACCAAAGCTGTCTTCCTCTCTGCATCTCTGACCCTCAGTCCTGATCCATCTACCATCATCCCGTGCCTGAACTCCTGCAGGAACTGACCTGGGACCACTGCCCTCGGGAGGCAGCTTCTGATGCCCAGAGAACAGAGGCTGCCCCTGAGCCCACCTGGGTATGGTGCCATCAGGAAGGCTACCTGGAGGTGGTGTAATGCCTGAGCTACATCTTTCTTTCTTTCTTTCAAATTGTTGGTAAAGTCAGGGGGTCTCACTATGTTTCCCATGTTGGCCTTAAGCTCTTGGGCTGAAGTGATCCTCTGGCCCTGGCCTAATGTGCTGGGATTACAGACTGAGCTACACCTTAAATGACCAGGAGGTAGGTGCTGGGCAGGCAGAGGATGAGGAGATGGGGCCAGGAAGAGGGAGGGAAGGGTTTGAGAGAGGGGGCAGAGAAAACCCAGGCACAGGGAGCAGCATGACTCAGGACACTCCGTGTGGCCAGAGGAGTGCGTGGGCAGGGTCGCTCGGCACTTTAGAGGGTCAGGCAGGAGTCCGGCATCTCCCGTGCTTCACCAGGTAAGGGGGGCATTATCAGAAGGCAGCTGCCAGGAGAAGGGTTTTTTTTGTTTTTTTTGAGGGAGTCTTGCTCTGTTACCAGGCTGGAGTGCAGTGGTGCGATCTCAACTCACTGTAACCTCTGCCTCCCGTGTTCAAATGATTCTCCTGCCTGAGATTCTAGAGTACCTAGGATTATAGTTGCCTGCCACCATGCTCAGCTAATCTTTGTGTTTTTAATAGAGAGATCATTTTGCCATTTTGGCCAGGCTGGTTTTGAACATCTTACCTCAGGAGATTCGCCTGCCTCGATCTCCCAAAGTGCTGGGATTATAGGTGTGAGCCACCATGCCCGGAGGCAGCCATGCTGGAGGCTGGAGAAACAGTCCAAGTGACAGATGGACATTGGGACAGCTGGGCCTAGAGAGGAAATAAGTTCCTTCCTCCATCCCCCTTCCCTCCCTCTCCCCCACCTTTCTTTTTTCTTCCCTACTTCTTTCTTCTGCTTTCCTGCCTTTCTTTCTGCCCTCTTTTTCCCCCTCTCCTTCATTCTTCCTTCCTTCCTCATTCCTTCTCTTCCTCTTTCAACTCTTTCCTTCCCTCCATCTGTCCTCCCCTTTCCTATCTTTCCTTCCCTCCATTTCACCCCTCCCCTCCTTCCTTTCTTCCCATCCCTCCCTTCTTCCCTCCTCCCTCCCTACTTCAGTAGTTCTCGAACACTGGTCCAGCAACTTCTGCATGCCGAGCACTAACTAGATACTGAGTCTGCCACAGGGATTGGCCCGTGCTGCTGTGGAGCTTGCAGTCTAAGGAGAGCAATGCCATCAGCCCCTGCCAGGAGCTTTCTGCAGGGCCCTTTAGGAAGTGGGAAGTGTTGGGGAAAAGCAAAAACAAACCCAGAATAGGCCAAGGAAGGGAGCTGCTTGGAGGAGAGAGATGGGTGGGCCATGTCCTTGCTGGACGATGGTGAGGGAGGTGGCCCTGACTGCAGGGGGTGCTGGAGGGGTCAAGGTCTTCTGGAGTGAGGGTGGTCCAGGTGGAGGGAACAGCTAAAGCAGATGCCTGGATAGATGTGTGAACATCAGGCAGGTGTGAGGATGGGGAAGGGGGTAGGTGGGAAAGGGAGGGAGATGGATGGAAGGTGAGGCTGGAGGCAATGAGGCAGTTCAGGGCAGGCCAGGTGGGCCACAGTGGGGCCTTTGGCTCAGACTGAGGAAAACAGGGGCATTGTGGGTCTGAGCAGAGGAGGGTACAATGGATTCAGCTCACACAGGTCTCCTGTGGCTGGAAGTAGAGAAAGGCTGGGGCAGAAGTAAGGAGTGAGCCAGGGCCTTGCTGCTGGATGCATTTTCAAGATGACTCCAAGCAAATCTGCTGACTGATGGGGTGCAGGAGAAAAAGGCATTAATCTGACCCAGGGCCTGGGATCTGAACACTGGAGGGTTGAGCCACCATCCAATGCGATGGGGAAGGAGCGGGGCACAGGTCTGCACAATGGGAAACTCACAGAGACAAGAACAAAGCCAGACCCGCTGGCTCCCACTCAGCTCTGCCCTCTTCATCGCCCACACCAGAGCCTGTCTTTCTCCCCACTTCCTGCGTGGTCCGTCTTTTTCCCAAAAGCCAAACCTGACAGTGAATCCTCTTCTTGGTGATGAAGAAACTCAGAGGCAGGCAGCTCAGGAAGAGAGCGATGGTGGAGAGATCCAGGAGCTGGGGACAGAGGGGACAGAACATCAGGAGATCCCGAGGAGCCCAGCTGTTAGAGGCCTGTGAACCACAGCAGCTCCATCTTGAATAGGAGCTGGGTAAAAGGAGGCTGAGACCTACTGGGCTGCATTTCCAGGCGGTGAAGGCATTCTGAGTCACAGGATGAGACAGCAGGGCAGCACAGAATACAGGTCACAAAGACCTTTCCAGTAAAACAGGCTGCAGTAAAGAAGCCAGCCCAAAACCCACCAAAACCAAGATGGCTACCAGAGTGACCTGACCTCTGCTCATCCTCACTGCTACATTGTCACCAGCACCATGATGGTTTACAAATGCCATGGCAACATCAGAAAATTTTCCTATATGATCTGAAAAGGGGGAGTCATGAATAATCTACCCCTCTTTCAGCATGTCATGAAGAAATGGCCCTAAAGATGGGCACCAGTGTCTTCTGGGCTGCTCTATGGAGTAGCCATTCTATCTTTTCTTTCCTAAAAAACTTTTTTTTAGGAAATAATAAACTTGCTCTGTGGCTCACACCTGTAATCCCAGCACTTTGGGAGGCTGAGGCAGGTGGATCACCTGAGGTCAAGAGTTTGAGATCAGCCTGGCCAACATGGTGAAACCCCGTCTCTACTAGAAGTATAAAAATTAGCCAGGTGTGATGACATGCACTTGTAATTTCAGCTACTCAGGAGGCTGAAGCAGGAAAATCACTTGAACCCGGGAGGCGTAGGTCGTACTGAGCCAAGATCACACCACTACCCTCTATCTAGCAACAGAGTGAGACTTCATCTCAAAAACAAAACAAAATAGCAAAACAAGCAAACAAACAAATTTTCATTTTACCCTCATGAGGGTTGTCAGACTTAGCAAATCATCATACAGATACCCAGTTACCTTTGAAGACAGAGTGAGGTTTTAGTTTAAGTCTCGTGCATTATTTGAGACATACACTGAGAGTTCGAAACTCTCACTTCACTGGATGTCCTGTTTTCTCTGGCAACCCTGCTCCCTACCAACGTGGTGCTTTTAAGATACTTATCTCCCCCCTCTCAGCTTTGGTTCCTATATTTGGAAAATGTGGAAGTGGGAGGTAGAATAAATAATTTTTTTAAGTTGCTCTGACTTTCTGAGAGTCATTCACAGGTTACTTGAACCCATTCTCTCACCAAGTCCCACCCCAACTCCAGTCTGCATGCCTCAGTTTCCCCTCTCAGTCCTTAGGAACACTATTTTTTATTTTTTTTTTGAGATGGAGTCTCGCTCTGTTACCCCAGGTTGGAGTGCAGAGTCGCGATCTTGGCTCACTGCAACCTCTGCTTCCCAACCAATTCTGCTGTCTCAGCCTCCCGAGTAGCTAGGATGACAGATGTGCATCACTATGCCTGGCTAATTTTTGTATTTTTAGTACAGACAGGGTTTCACCATGTTGCCAGGCTGGTCTCGAACTCCTGGCCTCAAGTGAACTCACTTCAGCCTCCCTAAGTGCTGGGATTACAGGTTTGACTCACTCTACCCAGCTCAAAGCAAGTACAACAATATTTTCTAAGGTTGGATCCGTTTGTTTCATTTATGCAGCAATGGCGTCACCTGGTGGCTTCATGGAGAAGTGCCCTAAGGGTAAACCACCTACAGCAGGGTTTAAAAAAACACTCAAAGGAATCTGACAGAAGATGAGCCTCTTGGCCGGGCGCGGTGGCTTGTGCCTGTAATCCCAGCACTTTGGGAGGCTGAGGCGGGTGGATCACGAGGTCAAGATCAAGAGTTCAAGATCATCCTGGTCAACATGGAGAAACTCCGTCTTTACTAAAGATACAAAAATTAGCTGGGAATGGTGGCGTACACCTGTAGTCCCAGCTACTCGGTAGGCTGAGGCAGGAGAATTGCTTGAACCCAGGAGGTGGAGGTTGCGGTGAGCCAAGATCATGTCATTGCACTCCAGCCTGGGCAACAAGAGCGAATCTCCATCTCAAAAAATAAATAAATAAATAAATAAAGAAGATGAGCATCTCTCTCTGGAGGAAAAATGTTCATTAAACTAGCAACCTCAGTATTCACCCCTCCTTCACCAGGATCTCATGGTGATGTTAGAAGCTGTCTACCAAGAGGCAGGAAAAGTGCACAGGGAAAGTGACGCAGTGCATTATCTGCAGATATCTTGGTCTTCTCTGAATTTTTTTTGAGGGTGAGTTGCTCTGTCCCTCAGGCTGGGTTACAGTGGTGTAATCTCGTCTAGCATCAACTTATGCCTCTTGCGTTCAAGTGATTCTCCTGTGCCTCAGCCTCCTTAGTAGCTGGGATTACAGGCACATTCAACCATGCCCGGTTCATTTTGTATTTTTAGCAGAGACAAGGTTTCATCATGTTAGCCAAGCTTATCTTGAACTCTCGACCTTAATTGATCTGTCCACCTCAGCCTCCCAAAGTGCTGGGATTACAGGCATGCACCCTCATATCTGGCAGAAGGATCAGGTTTTCTCATTTTATTTTTATTTTTTAGACAGAGTCTTACTCTGTCACCCAGGCTGGAGTACAATGGTGTGGTCTTGGCTCACTACAACCTCCACTTCCTGGTATTCTCTGGCCTCAGCCTCTCGAGTTGCTGGGACTACAGGCATATGCCACCACACCTGGCTAATTTTTGTATTTTTGGTAGAGATGGGGTTTTACTATATGGGTCATGATGGCCTCAAACTCCTGACCTTTGGTGATCCTCCCACCTCGGCCTCCTAAAGTGCTGGGATTACAGGAGTGAGCCACCATGCCTGGCCATGGGTTTTCATAAACCAAAGCATATTTCTTATTGTGTTTAACGGAATTGTGCCCCAGCCCTGAACTTTCCTTGATTCATCCTCCTTTAAATAGCGAACTTCTCAAAAGGTGTAATGAACATGGAAGAGCCACTGGCTGGGTGGGCTGGGTGGTAGCAGGGGGGCTGGGGTCTCAGCAGTTGGCATCCCCTTTCCCAGGATGTACTCATGGCCTCATGTAGCTATTTTTTTTATCTCCTAGGTCAGCTTGTCGACACCGTCCGGGTGAAAAAAGGAGACCAGATCTTGTTTTCATCTATGTTCGAAGCCAATATCACCACCCACAACATTGCTGTCATTGTGTGCAAAAGCCTAGAAATACTTAGACCTGGTTTATTAACCATACACCTGCCAGACCCAACCCAGCCAAAACATGAAATCCGCCAGGTGCAGTGACCCAAATCTGTAATCCCAGCACTTTGGGAGGCCAAGGTGGGTGGATCTCCTGAGGTCAGGAATTTGAGACCAGACTGGCTAACATAGTGAAACCCCACCTCTACTAAAAATATAAAATGAGCTGGGTTTGCTGGTGCACGCCTGTAATCCCAGCTACTCGAGAGGCTGAGGTTGGGGAATCACTTCAATAGAGGAGGTGGAGGTTGCAGTGAGCCGAGATTGAACCACTGTACTCCAGCCTGGGCAGAGCGCGAGACTCCATCTCAAAAAACCACAGTAACAACAACAAAAACACAAAATCAAACCCCCATCCTTTTTTTTTTTTTTTTAGAGATAGAGAGGGATTTCCTGTGTTGTCCAGGTTACAGTGCAGTGGTACAAACATAGCTCACTGCAGCCTCTTACTCCCAGGCTCAAGCAGTCCTCCCACCTCAGCCTCCTGAGTAGCTGGGATTACAGGTGCATGCCACCATGCCCAGCTAATATTTATGTGTGTGTGTGTGTGTGTGTGTGTGTGTGTGTGTGTGTGGAGATGGGGTCTCACTATGTTGGCCAGGCTGGCCTCAAACTCTGGCTCTGGGCTTCAAGTAATCCTCCCATCTCCACCTTCCAAAGTGCTGGGATTACAGGCATGAGCCTCTGTTCCTGGCCAAAATCCAACTACACATTCATGAACGACCAAAGGCATGAGCTTCTGTGTTTTAACAATGAAATGGATTATTCCTTGGGTATAACTTTGCTGGGGATGCTGTACAAAGTGCCACAAACAAAGTAGCTTAGAACAAGACAAATTTGTTGTTTCAGGCCAGATGCCATGGCTCATGTATGTAATCCCGATAGGATGACACCCTGTCTCTACTGAAAAAAATACAAGGCCGGGAGTGGTGGCTCACACCTATAACACTAGCACTTTTGGAGGCTGAGGTAGGCAAATCATGAGGTCAGGACTTCAAGACCAGCATGACCAACATGGTGAAACCCTGTCTCTACCAAAAGTACAAACATCAGCTGGGTGTGGTGGCACACATCTGTAATCCTAGCTACTCAGGAGGCTGAGGCAGGAGAACTGTTGAACCCAGAAGGTGAAGATTGCAGTAAGCTGAAATCACACCACTTTATTCCAGACTGGGGGACAGATCAAGAATCTATCTCAGAAAAAAAAATTAGCCAGGCATGGTTGCATGTGTCTGTATTCCCAAGCTACTCAGGAGACTGAGGTGGAAGGATTTCTTGAGCCAGGGAGAATGAGGCTGCAGTGAGCTGAGATCATGCCACTGCACTCTAGCCTGGGTGGCAGAGCGAGACCCTGTCTCAATAAATTAATAAATAGAATAAAATGTTGTCTCCCAGTTGGGAGGCCGGAAGTGTAAAGTCAGGTGTCTGCAGCCGGGCTCTCCCTGGAAGCTCTAAGGAAAAATCTGTCCCAGCCTCTCTCCTGGCTCAGGCATCCCTTGACTTACAGTGGCCATTGTCCTTCTATGCATGTCTGTCTCTGTGTGCAAACTTACCTTTGGGCAGGCACGGTGGCTCACACCTATAATCCCAGCACTTTGGGAGGCCAAGGCAGGAGCCCAGAAGTTCAAGTCCAACCTGGGAAACATAGTGAGATACCATCTCTACATAAAATACAGAAAATTAGCTGGGCATGGTGGAACACAACTGTAGTCTCAGCTACTCAGGAAGCGGAGGTGGGAGGATCAGTTGAACCCAGGAGTTTGAGGCTGCATTGAGCTATGATCACACCACTACACTCCAGCCTGGGTGACAGAACAAGACTGTCTCAAGAAAAAATATTTTATTCTTTCTTTTTCTTTTACTGGCAACAAATTTCCCTTTTAGTAAGGACACCAGTTATGTGGAATCAGGGCCCCACCTTCATGACCCATTTTAACTTGATGACCTCTGTAACAACCCGGTCTCCAGATAAGGTCATGCCTGTAATCCCAGCATTTTGGAAGGCTGAGGTGGGAGGATCACTTGAGGCCAGGAGTTCAAGACCAGTCTGAGCAACATAGTGAGATTTCACCTCTACAAAAACCATAGT